ATATATATATATATATATATATATATATATATATATATTTGGAGTTAAAAATAACTTGCAGAGACTGAATGCCAGGAACTGCTTAAGGAGCCATCTCTGATCACCCGGTGCAAAAAACACACTTCTGTATTTTTTCTCACCAGAGTGGGCCTTGATCCCTCAAAGCCAATCTAAAAGCCTAACTGCAGCTCAGCAGTCACCAGGAACATGGATTAAACCATAAAGCTGCCATGTAGACAGCATTCTACTCAGCATGTTCAAATCTTCAGTCACGAGATGAAGTTACAGTTGGTGACACTGTTTTGGTATAATGTATTGAGACCTCCAAAGCTAAAGGAGGAGTTTGGACAGGTAAAAAGTACCACTGTTGCTCTGGGTAACTGACAGGCAGGCAGATGCAGCCAGTGCTGTCTGCTTTATTTGCTACTAAAATTGAAAGGGGGAGGGAGTCTGAGGAGACTTCGCATTTTCCCAGCAAAAGCTGCATTCTCAAGAGTCCTTCAGAGAGAGCACTCTGGGAATACACCGGAGTTTACAAATCAATTTAGTAAATTGGCTTGGCTGGAAATCATGCTTTTGTGTGTGGATCTGGCTGAAAGGCATTTTCTTAATCTATTGGGTCCTGGTGGGGCTCCTTCAAGCAGTTCAGGGAAAGGTGACATCAGGAAGAGGGTGTCATTTCCAAACCAAGCCGACTCCAGCTCAAACCCTCGCTCCAGAAACCCAGCAATCCCTGAGTAATTCACATGACCTCTCTGAGCCAACTGCCAAGCTATCCCACCGGCCTCTGGAAGCACGGGCAGGATAAGTACCCTGTATATTTCAGAGTCAAGTACTGTCTTAATCTGACCTTTTCAGTGCAGCTATAAGCAACTGGGGATGACAGGCGCCCTTCCCACGCCAACCGTCCATTCTCTCATCTCCCGTAGGCCAGGTGGACAAGGGACATGAAAGGAGCAGAGCTCTGGAAACCTCACCCTGCAATGACTGCATATACTTAACCAAATTGGGAACTTCATTTAAGCAGCAGAGAGAGCCAAGCTGCACTTCTAAAGACAGAATTTTTAGATGTCAGACATATGCTATTTTCGGCTCTATATAATTTTGCCCTTTAGGTATTGTGAACTTGAAGAATTCCGCAAGTGGTCCATCTCCTTTTGTTTGTTCATTAGTTTGTTGTTTTGTTTTGTTTTGTTTTTTTAAATAGGGTCTCAAATGTATAGCAATCCTTCTGCCTGTAACACTGATCCAAGGGCTGGGATCCTAGGCATTGCTAGCACACTTGGCTATCTTTTTTTCCACCACACATATTTTCCAGTCAGCTGGTTGCAGTGCACTTTCCAGGCTCACTATGACACATGAGCCTGAGTCTTGAGAAGGGAGGAGGCAGAACAAAGGGTCCAGACCTACAAATGTCCCAGGATCCGCTCAACAGAAATCTAAGGCCTGGAGAGAGTAGTGCGTTGCCTTAAGTCAAACTGTGAAGATGTTTGGTGAGGTTTTAGTAAACTGTGAAAACCAATATGGAATGGAAAAGAAAAGGAATTTGGACACAGAGTTATATGCCTTGATGTTTCCAATTCTGAGGTCAACGTTCCCACTATACTTCAGGAGACAGAGGCCTGCTAGGACAGGCCTGTGTCATTTGTCAGTCTTAACAATGTATACATTAGCCATCACTGTGTCAAGCATGCCTGAGAAAATAAGTTGCTACCCATGGCTTGAGTCCATGATGGCTCAGCCCATCACCTGAGTCCTGTGGTAAGGAACAGCATGGAGGCCATGGTACAGCGAAGCAGCTAATCTCACAGTGGCTGGTAAGCAGAGATGGAGGAGGACAGGCTGATATCCCAACAGCTGCTTCAAGGGCACACTCCCAACTATCTAACTTCCCTCCTCTATGCCCCACCACCCATACCCCCTCTCCCCACAGTGCCACCAGCGGAGCTTTTGGAGGACATTCCATATTCAAACTATGACAATACAGAACCCAGTATCTAACATGTCAGGGTTGTCAATTTTGAGAAACTTGAAACAAACATATCACAAGGATGATTTGCATGTCAATAAATAGGATGTTTTGATGCAATGAAACCGCTAGGGTAGAAAGATTAATATGACTAAATCAGATATCCCAGTGAACATTTTAGACTCTAAGATACAGTGTCCATTGTCACATGGTGCCTCTTCTGAAACAGAAGTAGCCACTTAACCTTTCTAAGCACAGTGATTTTTAACCACAGATGAGTACATTTTGAAAGGTGCTAGCCCATTGGAGCAAGGTTGACTGCTAAGAAGCACCGAGTCCCTGCTGCACAATTCCCCAACACTCCCTCCTCTGGTTTAGCTCTGATCCTACATTGGGACTAAGAGAATAAAAGTGCTTGTTTAGTTCTGTTGCTCCCCATGTGGCCACAGGGGTCTTTTCTGAGACTGATAATCCAACCAAGGACCATGTATGAAGATAACCTAGAACCCCTGCACAGATGTAGCCCATAGCAGCTCAGTGTCCAAGTGGATTCCCTAGTAATGGGAACAGGGACTGTCTCTGATATGAAATCAGTGGCTGGATCTTTAATCACCTCCTCCTGAAGCGGGGAGCAGCCTAACCAGGCCACAGAGGAAGACAATGCAGCCAGTCCTGATGAGACCTGATAGGCTAGGGTCAGAGGGAAGGGGAGGAGGACCTCTCCTCTCAGTGGACTTGTAGAGGGGTATGGGAGGAGATGAAGGAGAGAGGGTGGGATTGGGAGGGGATGAGGGAGGAGACTACAGCTGGGATACAAAGTGAATAAACTGTAATTAATTTTAAAAATTAATTAATTTAAAAAAAGAAAGTGCTTATTTAGGGGCTGTGTTGACTTGAGGCTAACTTTCAAGTCAAGCATACTTCAGTGCTTGAAAGCAGGCTTGTGTCCTTTCAGGGACTACTAGGAAGAACACATCCTTCTGGACGGCTGTTGGAGGAGGTGTCAAGTCAGGTGACATAAATGTTTCTAGAATGGCAGCAATCCATAGCTTATCTAAAAGGTGAAGGGAGAGACAGCTCGACTTCCAGTTGAAGTTCTGAAAGTCAGAGTTGGCCATACCTGAGAGGACCTCAGGGTATTGCTGAAGCGAAAAGGGCACAGGTGGAAGCAAAGAAGGGCAGAAGGGAGCTGATGAGAAGGGAAGGGGGAGAGAAGGGGAAGGGGCCAGGCAAAGAGCTGCCAGAAGCAGGGACATTTGGAAGGCAGTGTGGGAGACAGAAACTATGGAGGTAGAAAATGTGGACAAAGAAGACTTCTTCACCAAATGGTTTGGAATTAACCAAAAAATTTAGCTCAACTTCACAAACTAACTTTTAGGTATGTAACCAAGGACTGGACTCAGCTCTGCTTGAAATACTTTTGAATAATGTTTTCTACCAATGAGTGTGATTAATTCATGGAGAAGAACAATACCATCCAGTTAAGACTGGGGGTGGGAGAGTAATAATAACTCCAAGCAACTTTACAAAGTTATGTATCTATGGAAAGAAAAAGAAAGAAAGAAAGAGAGAAAGAGAGAAAGAGAGAAAGAGAGAAAGAAAGAAAGAAAGAAAGAAAGAAAGAAAGAAAGAAAGAAAGAAAGAAAGAAAGAAAGAAAGAAAGAAAGAAAAGCTCAAAGAATTAGGTTAATTCACAGTGTGGACGAAAGAAATAGCAAACTTACAGTGTGATATCTGGGCTGTCAAAGTTAGACAAGAAAACATACTGGATTCTACAAAGTAAGTATTCCTGGGCCCAGAAATTACTAAGAACTCAAGAGTTTTCTTGGCTGTAACGACTTGTAAATATCTAGAAGAGCCCAGATTTTGAAGCCCTGAGGACACTTACTACAGCTAAGAAAGTTGGCAGGAAGCTTCGCACAGTATTTGGGTTTTCTTTCTGAGTTGATATCTTACCAAATACAGCCATCTGTGTTCCCTCTGGGAAAGGTTCAACCGTTCTGTTGCCACTGACATGGTGTTTGGCTGAAAAAAGAAAGAAAGAAATGTGAGTTTAAGTGTAGAGTTTGACATGCATACTAACACGTGTCATTAAATGTGTCGGTGAGCCCGGCTCTAGTCAGGAGTTAGGAACACACCAAAGCTTACCCTCCTAAGGGAATTTCACTTACCTGGGTTTTTAGAACTCTGTGTGTGTGTGTGTGTGTGTGTGTGTGTGTGTGTGTGTGTGTGTGTCTGTGTGTGTGTCTGTGTGTGTGTCTGTGTGTGTGTGTGTTCATGCACATGTGTGCATGCCCACATGTGGGGTCGAGGAAGCTGGCATGCACTAATGTGCATGTACACCCAAAGGCCAGAGGCTACCCTTGGCTATCATTCCTCAGGTGTGACCCATTTCTGTTTGTTTGGGTTTCTGTTGTTATTAGTTTGTTTTCGGCAGTATCTCTCATTGGCTGAGAGCTCACCCATTTGGCAAGATTGGTCAAGGTCAAGAAGCCCAAGAGATCGCACCTGTCTCTGCCTTCCCAGAGCAGGGATTAAAAGCATGTGCCATCACAACCGCTTTTTACACGGGTTCTAGGAATGAAACTCGGGCCCCCATGATGTCAGAGCAACCACTCTACTGACTCAGCCATCTCCCTGGCCCTTTACTTGAGTTTCAGTCTCAGTGATAGGGCATGTTGTTTTATAAATGAACATGTCAGGGTCTAAGTTCTTGTAGGCCTGGACAATTGAAAAAATAATAAATCCCTGGTCAGAGGATCCCTACTGAAGCTGACCACACCCAGAGAACAAGGGAATCCCTGAAATCCAGGTTGAGTAGGGGTGCTTCCCCCTGACGATGCCCAGCAATCACTGTCTTAATTAAGTTGGCATTTAAGCAAGAACTGTAGCAGCAGGCCATGGCATCCCACTGTGGTTCAAGCACAATTCAAGCCTTGGAGGCCTCATGGATATCCGGTGCTTCTCAACAGCCCTTCAGACCCGAAGTCTTACTACCAGTGCAAAGCAAGGGCTAGCAGAGATGTAATGAACTTCCAAGTTAGGACTCCTGGCATACGCTTCTCAAGACCCCTAGACAGAGAACTCTGGCAAATGTTCCACCTGAGCATGTGCAATAATGTCCTTGAAAATGTTCAAGTACAAGTATTTACACAGACTATATATAAGAGGAACAGCTAAATCATGACACTTGGCATCGCTGTGACTTAAGGGTCACACTAGATCTACTGAGCCCTGGCAAAGGGCAATAAGAAAACAACCTGAGTGAGTGCCAGAGGATCTGAGCCACAGAATCATCTGGTCCAGGTGTGATAAGGTAGGACACTAGATTGAGATGGGCACCATGTCATAGGAGGCCTTAAGTTCCTACCTAAACCATAGGCTTCTCGGCACCCTCTGCAGCATTGCCCAGGTGATGGAGACCCTGTGGGTTTTTGAGGCCCCTTTTAGTTCATAGGATTCCATCCATTCAACTCAGGGGTTTCCATTGCTCTGCAAGTAACAGAGGGGAAGGGCCAGCCCAGGGTAGAGACAGACAGGTGGCAGGCTCAGAAGCTTCCTGTGGCCCTTAGCCCCTACTGGACATAATCAGCAGAGACATGCTGGAAGGTCTAACGTGACCCTGTCATGCTCATTCATATGGGTAAGCTCCCTGGTCACTGCATCCCTTTAAATACATGAAGACCAAGGCTTTGCCCTAAGGGTAGCCCCGGCCTATCTCTTAGCCCTGACTGGTGAGTTTGGAATGTAACTTTTACCCATGCCACGAATCAGAAACTCCTTCCTTTAACCCACTAACCCTACCTATAAGGATTTAACTCGAGGAAAATTGTAGGTGGTAAAAAGAGAGACAGACAGACAGACAGACAGAGAGAGACAGAGAGAATATAGATAGCAGAATGTAAAGTTCCACTTGTCATAACGAAATCTCACTCTGCTAAGAGATTACATTTACAACTTTATCAAATGCAGCTGTTCCCTCTGGACTGGACATGACCATCGCCATCTTGAGTCAGAGCAGCTGTGATCACAGCAAATATTATCAAGAAGTCGGGCTTATCATCCTTCCTTCATGGAGGGCTTGGGGAAGCCTAGGAGCCTTCAGGAGATCAAGAGGTCCTCCTTCCCTCCCTAGATTACATAAGAGGGAAACAATGGAGGGATTCCGTAAAAGTTTCCCAAAGGGCTCCCAGTGGGGCAGCTTTTCATGAGTCCTCCATGCTGGTGGTGGGACTCCCAGTGGTGTCATCAATCTGTGGTCCTGTGAGCAGATCTAGTAGACTCACTGGGTCACCAAGATAGACTTGGATGGAGTCTTTTCTTGGCTTGTTGATGCCCTGATGCCCTCTCTACCTGGCCTCAACAGATGGGACAGCAATGCATTTGAGCACCACTTACAGCGATAAAGAAATTTTTTAAAAATCTGCAGTCCTGGCAAGAGGAAACAATTTTATTCCACCATTCATGTGGAGTTCAAGGACAATGGACTGAAATGTGAATGTTGATAGTGAAAACACAGTGAATGTGTGAGATAGTTCTGTTTATTTGATACTACCTTTGTCACTGTTAGATTCTTGTTTTCTAGTATGAAAGTACTTCAAACTTTAAAAGCCCACAAAACCATAGACTTCTCTGTACACTTTTTTTCCTTAGCAATTGGTTTCCTGGGCAGGCCAAGACTTATCTACAGCCCAAGTAAAGCTCACACTTACAAGAGAAGGTGTGTCTCCTGTAGCATCATGGTGGCATTGGACATGGTTCCAGACACGACTCGACTGCCTGAATCACTGCCTTAGGAACAGGCCACCCATCCTGCCACCTCTTGGGCTTGCTCCTTCTTGCTCCTATACTACCCATACATACTATGTCCCCAAGTCTAGCTAACTTCACCTCCTGTGCCCTCAGAATCACCCATTCCCTCCCTTTACCATGCAAACCAGTGTTATCTCAGTGCCCTTGACCTCCCTGCCAGACCTCCAGTGACTGTCCTTCTCTGACCCTTGCCCTTTCCCTCTTCCCAATGTAACCACAGCTACCTTTCAAAATGAAAAAGAAATCTAAATTATATGACATAAACTCCCAAGTACCCACCTGTATCCATCAAAATTGTTGTTGCTGATACAAAGCTGTCTGAGCAGTCCATTTCAGGCAAGAATGGTTCACTCGGCTCAGCCTCAGACTCTCATTCTGTCATGGTGGGAAGGCAAGATGGAAGAGAGCATCCCCAGCATGGCAGCCAGGAAGCAGAGAGCACACCTGTGTGTATGGGCTCTTTCCCTTTTCCTCTTCCTTCCACCAGGTACATGGGCCCACAAGCTACATGGTGATGCCATCCACAGTCATGGAAGGTTCCCCTTTCCTTCATTAATGGAAAGGATACACCCAGAGGCATGCTTTATGAACCTTCCAGGCAAGTCTCGATGCCATCAAGTCGGTAGTCAAGATTAACTACACTTCCCCCATCTCCACTGGCTCCTCATTACTCTGAGGCTAGAGTCAATGCTTTTGCTGGCCTTCAAGAGTCTGTAAGGGCTGGCTACAAAGTCTCTCCTCCCTCTTCTTACAGAGACCTCTGCCTTGCTCACTAGGGCTGCACTAAACATTCATGTTATTAAATGGACAAAAACCAAATCTCCCAGTGAATGGTAAATTCAGGAGGGCAGGGGCCACATCTTACATGTCACCTCTCCATGATCCCAGCAAGTAGTGACAAAGAGGTGTTCAGTAAGCATTTGTTAAGCTAATAAATGAAACAAATAGCATTTATAAGTCTTTACAAGCCAATATGAAAGATTATGGTGTCTTACTTGATACAATAAACAGACACACACTGCTATATTACTTAATGGGAGACAGCCTAAGAAATGGATTATTAAACACTATTCTGTATGTTTACACAAACAAAGCTTGCCAATACTTCGTAATGAAATCTTAGGAGGCTACCATCAGCTATGGTCTGTTGTGACATATAGAAGAGTTATATCTGCCTGCGTGCATGTATGTGGGAGTATAAATATGTACATGTGTGTGTGTGTGTGCATATGGAGACCAGGGGACAACCTTAGTTGTCAGTCCTCAAGTTCCACCTGCCCTGTTTTTGAGACATCGACTTTCACTGGCCTGGAAGTCACCAATTAGGTTAGGCTGGCTGGCCAGTGCCCCAGGGATCCCCCTGTACCTTATTCTCCAGCCCCAGAAAAGCAAGCACACACTACCATGGCTCGCTTTTCTATGTGTGCTCAGGTTCTCATGAATGCAAGGGAAGTATGTCAACCCTTGCACAGTCCTTTAATGTACTTTCCTTTTAATACAAAGAACATGTTTCCCTCATAATAAAGCTGAACACTTAAAATAGTCACTCAGAAACAGTGCCCAGCTGCTGGCCTGGAGAGCAGGGAGCCAAGGTCTCATCTTCATATGTTGGGGTCGCCTTCCCAGCTTTTTACCTCATTACCTCTGGAAAGACCACAATGCTGAAGGAAGTAGGCATGAAAATGTTCCATACCGGACAGGAAGGAGGAAGTCTATGTTGACCTCTCTGCTGAGATGCCCAATCTCATCTTTTATTCCAGAGCCTGAGGTCCAAAGATAATGGTTTCCATAAACTGATTTTGCATTTTCTTTTGGAATACAGATCATTGAGTCTTATGTCAGCCCTTTAGCAGTATAAGCAACATTAGCAAGCAAAAGACAGGACAGGCTAGGGACGACAGGCTGGGCTCTGGAAGGAGGCTGCCTGACCTTGGGCCTCTCCCTCATCCTGGCTATATGACCTTGCCATATCACTTAACCTCTGTGAGACTTCTCATTTGGAAAATTCTCTACATTATGTGTTTCCTCATTTGAATTATGTCATGGGTGGCTTTGAGAATTATGTTAGGTATGTAAAGCCTGGCACAACTGTCAGGCTAGCATTGGAATCTGCATGGGAGCTTTCACCAAAAAAAAAAAAAAAAAGACCTGAGTCAGGAACTGCTGTATTTTTTTCCTCCCCCTCCTTCTCCTCTTCCTCTTTCTCCTCCACA